TGATAAAAAGTGATCATGAAATTTCTGGTCCCCATCACATATATTATTGATATTCTTTGTAAAATGATGTAATTGTCAGCTCTGAGCACTTTCATATGGCCTCTAATTGAACAAATCACGGCTCTAATTATAAAATAGAGCTGACAAATATCAGTCCGTAGGTGCTGCAGAATTCCGTTTTATCATCCTAATATGTCTATTAATACCACAGAGATGGTTTTATTGGTTTCTGAGAGATTATACCGTGTATTGAATTGCCTCAATTGGCACGTTGGTGGTTAACGAGAGAAGCCGTTTGCAGCAGAGCAATCTGGTTTATTGATAGAATGTAAATGCTACACTGGAAATATCACCTAGATCTGGTTTATAGGAGGTCTTCCTAGGGGCGGTTACTCAGGAAAATTTCAGACTGGAAATTTGGGTCAACTTTCAATTCAGGATAAATCCCTGAAGGTCGGATCGAATAAATTGCTAGTCTTAAAGTAAAACTCAAGTCTTTTTTTTTTTTTTCACTCCCAGTAAGAGGACTTTTACTGGCTTATTGGGGGGTAAAAGTAGACTTAAGATTTTATCAAATATTTAAGACCAGTTTTCGGTCTTTAGATCTTGGGTGGAACTGTTTCGTGTGGGCTTTTACAGCATGGCAGACGTCTGGAATTGATGACATAACATCCTTCTACTGACTGATAGCCAAAGTTTAGGATGATGCTGGGTACCTTGACGTTTATATAAAAAATTTACTAAGTGAGCACTGGATTGAGTCATCCAATCTCAAGGGCTGACCTTGCTTTGCTACTGTTATGAGGCAAGGAAAAAAAGGACTTGGATGACTGAGATATAACTTGTAAGATAACGCTGCCCTGGTAATACTATGAATTCAAATTATAGACTAGATGAAAATATGTGAATTTAAGGGCGTATTCCCAGACATTTAGATCGATCTATCCCCGTGGGGAGTCTCACTAGATTACTGTCAGATAATCCGGCTTAAATGTCCATCCCTCCTACTGCAAGCTGTAAGGGGGTAATTAACTTTCATGCCCGCTCGGCTGACAGCTATTTAGCGTGAACCCTCAGGGAGTTAGGTCGATCTAGTTTGGATCGATCTAATCTCTGGGAATGGGGTCTAACACTGGGTATTATGAAAACAGCAAGATAAGTTCCAGGGTTGCACGAAATTTTGACATTAGTAGATTTTGACCAATTAATAAAGTTGATATACATCCAATAACCTTGGCAATATTTTGCATACTTTACGTTTAACTTAACACTTAATTAGTAAATTTATACATACTGTATTTACTTGAATTCTGAGTCTGCAGATGTTAATAAACTTGTTGTATATTTGAAGATATTTGGTGACAGCGTTGATGGGTGCTGACCTTAACAACATTATCAAGACACAGAAGCTTAGTGATGACCACGTGCAGTTTCTAGTATACCAGATCTTACGAGGTTTAAAGGTAAGCAGGTGTCGGTGTGCTAGACATTCCCTTGCATAGTTTATCTGGTGGTGCAATTTAGACTGTTCTGTTACTGTTTTAAGTTGGGTTGTGTAAGAACACAGCCGTTTCTCACCAGGAGCATTTCCTCTCCTCCACGCACAAAAGATCCCCTATTAATAGTCGATAAATTGCCTCCAAGTTCTCCTTCCTGCCTGTTGGAATTTATGCCCATAGATTACGAGGCATATGGACAGATGAAAATGAAATATAGATCATGAATTCATGGAAGCATTTCGTCTCAATTCTCTGATTGATTTATTTAATATGGCAGAAAATAACACGTAGCACTTCGCCTGAAGAAATATCATGTCGGCACGTACACAGTACATCATGTAGGCTTTTAGGTAATTGTCTTCATTGGATTACATGATGAACTGAGTTCTGAGTCAGCCTGGGGTACAAGACAATTTAATATACACAAGTTGGCCATAAGACTTATAAAGTATATCCATACTGTTAATATTCAGTTCATTTAAAATGTATGCAGTAGTCAGACTAGTGTGTCTATGTGTTTGTGTGCCCGAACATTTGATTTCTATATCTGAGTGTATGTGTATAAAAACAATTAAAGTGATAATAACTCTTCGTTTCGGCCAAAAAATGAATTTTCCTGGAGTAAACAACAATTTTCCCATACTTACCAATGGTTAATGAATCCATTTTTACATTCAAAGTTAGTCCCTGGTTTTTTTCTAAAAAGTTTGGTTTTTTGTTAAAATCTCTTAAGAGATTTTAGCAGAGTATAGCCATCAATGGAGGTCACGTGGTCTAAAGACAAGCTCAGATATCAGAATAATAGCTATAACTGCCGTTTTTGTGGTAAAACAGAATATATTATATTTCTATGAGTTATTCACAATGTTTTTATTGTGAAATATAGATCTCATACGAAGAGTTATTATCCCTTTAATATTCAGTATCACAGTATTCTTGTATGAAAAAAATCTATCAGCAATTGCTCAGCAGTTGACTATTTGTGTAGCTATGTGTTCACTGCTGTGTGGCACCAAAGGGAATAGTATGACTAGCAAGTTTCAGAGTTTTTTTCTTCATACTTAAAGCAAGTGTTGTTTTTATGTGTACCATGTACGTCATATGGATAAATGCAGCATGCAAAGCTGTGTTCATATATCGCTGTCTGCGTGTAGCATGTAAGTCATATCATGTGGACATTTTTTTTTTTTTTTTTGCTTTAATAGTCTTAAATCTATGATATATTAGCTAGATCATATGTACAAGCTATACACAAATGTGAAGTAAATAATTCCTATCAGAGATAGTTTGTAAATTCTGTTATTCAACATTTCAGTTGTTCTTAATACAAAGCCTCAAAACTGTAATTTTATTTTTATTGTATTTTTCACAAATACAAGTACTAGTAAGCGTTTTTATACCAGTACAGTTTCAGTACATGGTCAACTAACTAAAATTTGTTATTCTTAGGTAGAATACAGTAGATTATGGAATGCTTGGTTTCCAATGTGATCCAAAAAGCAGCATGATTCTTGATACGTGCACACATTCCATGGGCATTAAGTTTCAGTAGACCATTCATTTATCAAGATACTAGTATCAGCATGATAATATGTAAAGGAGTTTTTTTTTCTTCTCTCATTGCAGTATGTCCATTCAGCAGGCATTATACATAGGGTGAGTACACTTCATGTTTTGTCATCACCATTGTTTTTAAATTTTTTAATGATTTTTTATTATGAATTTTTCATATTTTATTTATTAAATGAATTTTTGTGCATTATAGGCAGCAAAATGATAAATTGCTATTGATTGCAGGACTTGAAACCCAGTAATATTGCAGTAAATGAAGACTGTGAGTTAAAAGTAAGTAGATTTTTATTGAAACTTATCCTTAAGGTTCTAAATCAGTGGCAAGAGGTCCAAGATCAATACACAGCTCTTTGACTGGATGTCATTCTTGATAAAAACCGATGATTAAAAATTTCCCTTGAATGAATGAATAAAGATAAGAGTTGTAGAAATTAAGCCATAAATTGTCTTTTCATGACAGTGGTGCTTTGCGAGTTCTTCAGACTGGATTCAAATTACCTGAGAGACGATAAACTGATAATGGCTAATTTTTATTAGCGTACAAGGCTCCAAGAAACCTGTGACAGTATAGCCTTAAGGATATGTAACTAATGGAGGAAATTGTTGATGACATACTTGTAGACTTGATGTGACCTTTTACAGAAAAGATAGCATAATATGGGGAAAAACACTGGTGGAATATAAGTTTGTGTATGAAACCTGAACAAAACAAAATAAATAGGAAAGTGTATTCAGTGAAATATGTGGATGAAATATAATAAAACAAGATATCAAGATACCACTTTTTCCATTCTGTATAATAGTCATTAAAATTTGATATCTTCACTATACATCTTGTTTTATAACTTCACTCCCCAGCTAGGGTAGAGCACTTCTCAACATAAATAGACAATATTATATTGCATATTTAAATATATATTATAGATATAAATTTGTGTGTGCAGATTTTAGACTTTGGGCTGGCCCGACATGCAGATGATGAGATGACGGGTTACGTGGCTACAAGGTGGTACAGAGCTCCTGAGATTATGCTGAACTGGATGCATTATAACCAAACAGGTAAGACTTGATATACATAAAGATCTGGAACTGTGAAAGGTCAGATGTCAGCACACCTGAATGTTATGAGTACACAGGTAAGGTGAAGATGTGTACAGGTGATGGGGTATGCTCAGGTGAGCGTTAGGATCACAAAGCTGTGGAGAATATTCATGAAGTTTTTTGATAAGAGCTCAAGGGTCATTTAGTATCGGGGGGGGGGGGGGGCTATAATGGATTACTCAGAGTGAACTTCTTTCAGTATATTTTCTCAGTAGAATCACAGCTGTGTATTTATCAGTAGTCAAGGTATAACAATTGGAATTTTTATAGTAGAGTGTGGAGAATGCACAAATATGTGTAGATTAGCATTCCTTGATTTATTTATTTCAAAAGTCATGAATATGCATAAATAGTTTGCCATAAACTAACATCATACTCACTCAAATTGCACTGGAGCATGGTAGTTTATCCATGCTGAATGTTGAAATTGGGCTGAAGTGCACATTACTGTGGTAACATGGGTAATAGATAAGAGAAACAGAGTAAGAGTGCTTCCTTGGAGCATGACTGAAAAGAGAGGGGGGCAGATTTAAACAAGGTCTTTTTCTTCGAGAGGTGGACAGTGGATGGAGTAAGTTTGTATTTCACAATCACCGCAAGTTTTTAAAGATTTTGCCTAAAAACATTGGTGTTGTGTTGGTTGAACTGAGGTTTATAAGGGGAGTTGTGGCTGGGATTTGTGTGAATTTTTTGTGTTGACAAGGTAGCCATTTATGCTGAGTATCAAATAAGATACACTAATTTTGTCAAGAATGACCACCTGAATTGATTGGTGGATGTGAGAGTGGGGCTGCAGCTACCACATTGTGTTAGTTGTACTGTGGCACAGTATTGTGTAAGGTGTGCCAGTGTAATCACATTGTGTTGGTTGTGCCAGTGCAATCACATTGTGCTGGATGTGCCAGTGCAATCACATTGTGCTGGATGTGCCAGTGCAATCACATTGTGCTGGCTGTGCCCCACTCAGCATGTGGCCTTGTCTTGCTTGTAGTTCTACTGTCTCACTACACTTACCCTGTGGACATCTGGTCTGTAGGCTGCATCATGGCCGAGTGCTTGATGGGAAGACCACTCTTCCCTGGGTATGACAGTATCCTTAATAATAATAATAATAATAATAATAATAATAATAATAATAATTATATGAAGATTGTCACATATCCAGTAGATAAGGAACATGCACATTTTTGTATACCTTAAAAAATATTTTTCTTGGCTTGTTTTGTCTCATTAGGTTTTTGTAGCACTAAAAAAGTGAGTGTATTGCATTGGGCAGAATTCTGGGGGGGTTCCCTAAAACCTGTGTCATGACCACAAGTCTGTACCATTTAGGAATTTTTTTAAGCTTGTAGTATATTTATACTAGTGGAAAATTTTAGCAGATTTTTTAAAATAAATTTTCGTTATATACAGATTTCATTTTCAAATTAGCTAAAATAGACCCAGACTTAAATTCCTCTTGGATTTTTGTTCAAATGACCAGTGAGCTAAAATATTTAAGGCACAAGAGTGACTTTTATCTGGAAGGTTCACTATTACTTTTAAGCATGCATTTGTTATATATGCATATACTAACCTTTTTAATTTCTGAAGCATCTCTTACATATTATTAGCAGTTTATCACTGAGCATTTTGTTTAACTGAATTAGATTAAGTTGAGTTCACCAAGAGAATGGTTAACATGGTCCACGATTTGATCAATAGAAAAGCGAACTTGTGGATAATCTACCACCAGAGTAATTCTCCTGCTGGTTAAAGAAGCACTGTCATCATCCAGAATATTGTCTGTTTGCTGTTTCATGGCATATGCATGTATAGTACTAAGTAGTGGTACATCATATTTATTCCTGCTTTTTGCTTAGTTAAAACTTATGGAGGTTTTGTTCCACATATCTGAACAGCATTAAGGTTAAACTTTTATTTTAGAAATTTTTGTATAAAAGCTCCTATGAAGCCAAGTTTACATTTCACTAATGTATGGCAAACAATGTAGATCAGCAGCTCCATTTTAATAGCTTATCTAATTGGGCTACCCTTGACCTGTGGTTGACCTTTTTCCCTTCAAGTGACCTGTAGGTGACCTTTGACCTTCCTGTGACCTTTAACCACTGACCTCTGTGTATTCTGTTCTTTCAGTGGATATCTGGTCTGTTGGCTGTATATTTGGGGAGATGCTCACTGGTCGTCCTCTGTTTGCGGGATTAGATCATATCCTTGGGGCACCTGTACTGCATGCTGTGCCTTAGTTTACTTCACCTTCACAATTGTTGTACTTAAATATTTATTACTGATCCACTTTTTGCATGTATCATGTTAGTATTATTTAATCACTTTTTTTTGTGTGTGTTCATATTTTCAAATATCATATTGACCTATATTTTGCAGCCTTGCCTTGCTATGGATGTATATGAGGTCATGTTCATTAATGTTCAGAGACTAATGGGATTTCAAAGGACCCATAGAAAATTGTTCAGTTGGTTCTTTGAACTGGCAACAATATAAAGAACCCCATTTTGAATTTTAAGCCTGGCAAAGTTTTCATACCACCAGTCTGAATATGTTTAAAAAAAAGTTTTCATAATGTTTTTCATCATTTGTCTATTCAGTTTATTTACATTATGACTAGCTGTAACTACATAGAGTCCTAGTACAATATCACTACAGCCTGACCTTCCCAGTCCTTGACTATAGGGATTAACTTTTATATGGGAAGAACACAACACAACAACTCATAGCTCAGTCATGTCCTTTTGTTTTTAGATTAATTGCCTAGTTAGGTTAACTTTGTTTGTTAGTCGCACTCACATTTAATTCCACTGTGTCAGTCAGTGGAGACATGGTTTGCTGGGAATTTAATGTTCATGTTGCATGCTATAACTGTTTACCATTAAGTTGATCACAGTGGGTCATGTGTCACAGCATGGGTGTCTAGTATATTGACTGGAAGCCAGTTTCACAGAATAGCCAAAAGACCTTAAATTAAAAAAATTAAAATCTACTTTTTTCCAGGATAAAAAAAAACTGCTGCAAACTAAACAGTTTGCAGAATGTTGCAAAAAAAAAATGTTGCTACAAATTCCTGCAAATTGGCAAGAGCATTTTAAGTTTGCTACGAGTTTGCAAGAAGTCTTCAAACCCTTTCATATTTAAGACCTAAGTACCTCATTTGCATAGTAAATTTCTTCTTGCAAATTTGCAGCAACAGTTTGAAAAAATCCTAAATTTATGCTAAGGGTATGTTGGAAGCTCATTCCGTAGAATCCTTAAGGCAGACTTTCATTCTAAAGCCTCATTCAGAACAGGGAACTAACTAGTCCGAGGGTCAAATATGGCAACTACAAAGCTTGCCATCTAATACGCTAATAGATACTGAATAGATATCCCGTGGAAAAGTATTCAAGTGGGTTGCCATATTTGACCCTCAGACTAGTTAGTCCACTGTTCTGAATGCGGCCTAAGTTAAAAACCAGCTTAGGGTCTCAGGGGGGAAGTTTTTCTGTCACACTGGCCCCAGAACTGGGAGTAATTTGCTTTTATCTTTTTGTTTTTCAGTTGACATTTGGTCTGTTGGCTGTATAATGGCTGAACTCATGACTGGCAAGACACTCTTCCCCGGCACAGATCGTATCTTTTGGCTTGTTTTAATTTAGTTGTTGATTTGTCTGTGTTGTATATGTCATTTATGTGCAGCTATGTAGATATGCCTGCATGAGAGAGAGAGAGAGAGAGAGAGAGAGAGAGAGAGAGAGAGAGGAGTGAGGCCATATTTGTTTGATGTAATGTAAAGCTATGTGTTCACATGCATGTTGCCTCTGTGCAAGCAGTAGTTTCAGTGTTGCTTCTGACACATGCTTCCTACTATCTTTACCAGCTTTCTACTTTCTAGACCAGCTGTCAACTACCTGTTCCAGCCTTCTGCTACCTGTTTCAGCTTTCTTGTATCTGTACCAGCTTTTTAATACCTGTACCAGCTTTCTTTTATCTATACAAACTTTCTTCTAACTGTACCAGCTTTTTCACTCTTGATTGATGGAATAGTAATCAGTTATGCTTAGGACATTTTGGAGTCAAGGTCAGTTCAGACATGATAAGACTTGGATCGACAGTTGATACTTTTGAGACCAGAAATTGCTCCAACTTTCGCGCTCAGATAAACCAGATTAATGAACCAGGCATGAGGCTGTCAGAGATGTGCTGGGAGAGCCAACTGTGCTTCAGACAGCTGTGGCCCTTTTCACGACAAGTCCTACATTTTTCTTTACTTGCAAGTACACTTTTGAACACAAAGTTTATCAAAGTAATCGTGGCTAAGTTGTTTAAGTTCCTTGACTGCTGTCCAGATATTGACCAGTTGACCAGGATCATGAGTTTAGTGGGGACACCAGATGACCGTCTGCTGGCCAAGATAACCAGTGACGAGGTGAGTGGATGTCTTTTCTTAATTAGACATTTATTTTCTTCGTAGATCTTCTTATTCTAAGGAAATCTTTTCTTGGACATTCTTTGAATAATGTTTTCATATTCAAAATTTCACATTTTTGCCATCTCTAAAGAAATTCACCTGTTTTTATCTTTGTTAGGAGAGACATGAAACCAGAAAATTTTGAGCTCGAAAACTGGTTTGGATATGGGATTCTTTGTAGTTCAGAGAAAATCTCCAGGAAAAAATAACCTTCTTCTACATAAACTTTAAGTCTTAGTTCTTATTTTGCACCTGTAGTTGACCTCTGACTTGAAGGAAAGCTTTGCATAAGTAAAATTTGTGCTTTAATTTGTGAGTTGATGTTTTTCTTGGGTTCTTTCAGGCACGGAGGTATATAAAGTCACTGCCAACTACGCCAAAAAGAGAGTTCAAACAATGCTTCTTACAAGCCAATCCCTTAGGTAATCAAATCTCAGCCTTGTGGTGTTTTAGCCTATAACATGTAGCGTGTCTGTAAATGTTTTGCTCAAGTTGGTTTAAAATTTCTAGCACATAACATATATTTAATTAATTTCTACTTAGTGGTAAAAGTTTAGCAGTGATTCCCAGCTCAATAATTACATTGTTGTATATGGCATGCAGTGGGTGACTTGTCTTGGAACTGTTACCTAAACTAAAATAATGAAGAAAAATCTAATACTCTACTTACATTAAAATGGAGATCACAGCTTTTTGACCTTATATAAAGGCCTTCATTGGTTGAACTGATGGTGCTGTCACGTGGTGCTTTCCGTTTCAACATAAGATCTAGTATTAGGATTAATATTTTCATTATCTAAGTATAATGTAACTGGATTGATTATGACTGTCACTTTGTTGTGTCCAGCTGTGGACCTCCTGGAGAGGATGCTGGACCTTGATGCGGACACTCGGTATACTGCCAAACAGGCGCTGGGCCACCCTTACCTCAAACAATATGCAGACCCTTCTGATGAGCCAGAATCTGAGCCTTACGACCAGTCCTTTGAGGACAAGGAGTACGATATCCCAGTCTGGAAAAGTAAGCAAATACTCCTGTATCAATTTGATTTTTTTTTTTAATGGATATTTTTACTTTTATTATTTTCATTGTTTTGGTTATCAGCGTCATTATGGATAGCACGAAGGGTGTAACAGAATTCCGAAAGGGGAACATTTGGGGTTTGTAGACTGAGATGACCCTTGTTTTGCTTGAGGATAATTCAAGTTGTTTATAAATATGCTGTCCAAGGAATGTCCTTTTTCATGTGACAGTTATAATTATTATTTTCAGTGAGAGGTAAACATGTTGAACAGAATTTTTGCAAAAAAAAAAAAAAAGAAAAAAAAAAGACAAAGAAAATTTATTTTGGTTGATATACTACAACTTCCCCTTTTGCACAATATGAATTGTGTCCTGTTTTGTCAGTCTGGTTTAGAAAAAAAGATAAAGTATTTCCATCCCATTTTGTTTCAGGACTAATATATGAAGAAGTGACAAACTTTGAGCCTAAGCACTTAGATGAACAGCAAGAAATGTGTATGTAAGAACACTTCCCCTATTTGTCTGTGTTCATGGACTCGGTGAGACAGAGAGAGAGAGATAAAATACCAAATTAAGTGCTTTTGATGAAGAGTGCCCTCCACAGGTCTTTCAGCTGCCTTTGTACTGTACGACAAGAATTAATCCGGCTTTGAACACAACAGATGCTCTTCTGTAAGTGGAGGAATGGAAATGCGTAAAGTCGAATTTCTGGACTCATATCTTTGGATGATAATTCAAAACCTTGTTAACTTTAAGCATTCATACCTTGCAAAAAGTATGGTCTGGACGGGGGGAGGGGGGGGGTTAAGTCTGACACCCCCCTCTTTCCAGGGCCCTCAAAGAAATGAGAAAACGGGTTTCTTTCTCCGAGTTCAACAAAGAGAGATGTGCTACATGTGTGGACACTAACAAATACAGTAACAGTAGTTGGTATCATATACATATATAGGGACGACAGTGATATTAGCAGTGGTGTACAAAGGTCTAGACATGTTAAGAATGGCTGAGTCAGCATTTTGACAGTGGAACCTCCCCCAATAATGCAGTAGTTAATATATAGAAAATTGACATTTAGATAATGTAGAAGTAATAAATATTATATAAATTAGGAAGATTGGCTAGCGCCTTGCTCATGACGTTAAGTAGTTCTTATTTGGCTGCTGATGTAGAACAGTTTCATTAGCTATGTTATTATCATAGACTTGTGAAGATTCTTTTGTCTATAGCTATTTATATTAGTTTTATCTTACCATCCAATATTTCATCTGCTTGCAGTCAGATTTCATCAGGGAATGAGGTTGTGACAGGTATGACAACCTGTCACCCCCTCTGGTGTGCTATTTGGTCAGACCCCCCCCCCTGCCTGCCCCTCCCTTAGGAGTGGGTGACCACCAGAGGGGGTGACAGGTTGTCATACCTGTCACAACCTCATTCCCTGATGAAATCTGACTGCAAGCAGATGAAATATTGGATGGTAAGATAAAACTAATATAAATAGCTATANGTCTTGGCTGCTGATGTTTTCAAATTGTCCAAAAATTTCTTGATTGTTGACATGAACAGAGATGATGATGTTGTTGAACAAAGTTGTATAGATGAAGTTCAAACAGTGGTCTTGGTGATCATATATAACTGCCAGTGTTATATCATAGTAATATGTTTGTAATGGGTGGCCACAAATTCATATGCAGAAAAGCTATCATCTTCATTGGTCCATACTGTTCATTGAAAAAGAAACCTCCAAACAATATGCATGTTGAAAGATTGCTGGATGAAGATGGATGTTTTTTATGATAAAGGAAATCCAAATGTGCATTCTTCATCCCTGAAGTTCTGGGGCCTGTTGATGGTTGACAAAAGAACACAGCTCAGAAGTTTAACAAAAAGGACTTCTTTGATCCAAGAAAACTTTCTTTAAGTCCACAAAATCATGGCAGTTGCGTGTTTGAAGCATTTCTTAGTTTTTATAAAAATGGCTTGTTGGAACAAACTTTGAGAGACTTATTCTGAGTGAAAAGACTATAAAATTTCCTTCTTGAGTTTTGACTAACGTTTTCTGGGGCCCTGTTAAAAACCCTCTCTTCATTCTCTGGGTCACTTTGTAACTGTGATGTATGCCAGGGCTGGGAGAGATTTACCTGCTGATGAATGTTTGTCTTTAGATTTTCTACTTTGTTTTTCATTCATGCTCCTTTGCTTCCTTTGTACATATTTGCCCTTTTGCCATCAAGAAGAAAAAATTAGTGAACAAAATTATTTAAGTGGCTCGATAAAAATTCACTCAAGTGGGGTGATAAGAATTTCACAGCTAATGTAACAGGATTCAGCATCTTGGTGGCTTGGAGTAGGATATTTTTGCACAATTTTAGTCTCATAATCTCAACAGGTCAACAAATTTTTTGGAGAAATTTACACTCAGCTTGTCAAATGTAAGCAGCTGAATGGTGTGATTTTCTACTGTTATAATTCAAATTGAATGATTTGTAAAAAAATAAATGAAGCAGATCCAGTTGGATGGACTGCCCAATGGCAGTCTTCGTATGGAAATTTTGTTATTTATCAACACATGTTCAACTGTGCAATTTATTCTTGAGTGAGATAACTTTCCCTTAAGCCCCCGTTACACTGGACGGCATCCTTTCTGCCACCTTGAAACTGGTATTGCTGTGGTCATAGAAAGGAGGCACAAGCATCACTTTGGTTGCGGAATGAATGCTTAATGATTGGCCAGTTGTTGGCACGTAAATTTTTTTTTAGACTCTCAAACGGGGCCATATTACAGGATGCAGAAAGGATGCTGTCCAGTGTAAAGGGGTTTTTACTTGTTTTATACACCATGGATTGAGGATTTATATTCAGCTTGGCATTTGTGGTGTTTGGTTTGTTTATATACTTAATTCCATCACAGCAATGTTATATAATTACTATTCAACTGGTTTTGTTACAACATGTAATCTGTATATATTGTTTTTATAGACTGTTATCACAAAATATTATTTGTGATGCTTTTTTTATATCGGCTGATGTGGACATGTAATTAGGTCAAAATGCAGATGAATTAATTCATTTTAAGCCACAATCAATGTATAAAGAATACAAAAAAAAAGCTTGTACAAATAGTTATGGCCCCTTTCACATCTAATGGCAATTTTCTGTATCGCCTCAGTTTGTGAGATTGACAACTTAATAGGTTGGGTATTTTGTAAACGAGTCGCCGAAACAAAGCACCTGCGCCCTTCTGGGACAGTCAAACCGGCTTGATACAGAAAACTGCTGCCCAACGTGACGAGGCCCAATGAAATTTATTGCTTGGTAAAATAAAACATCTATAGTACCCCTAGCTGTGTTGATATGGTAGTTCAAACCATGAATTGAACTGTACCGATTTCTACAGATATATATATATGCAGCAGTTAAAGATGTTACGAGAACACCTTGACAAAGTTTTAACTTGCTATTAAATGGAGATACAATCTACTAGGAGATGACTGTATTTATTATGCAAGAAAAATTATGATCAGCAAGGTTAAATGTTGCCTACAAAAATGAAGCTTGCACAGAAAGTGCAAATATTTGACATTCTGATGAAAATAAAAACATTCGAAATTTTTTATGACTAATTTGTCATTTTATTATAAGTCTTTGGACAGCCCTGGTATTTCTCAGTCAAATCAAAAATTAGAATTATTTTTGAACAAATTTCTTTATTCTTCACAGCCAGTGCATTTATGATGATAGTCTTTCCAAATTATTTTGTGTTCTACCACCTTGTCTCAATTCATAGATTACATTTGCTCAGTTTCAAAAATAAAGATTCATTTAAATAACTGAAGATTGTGTCTTTTGTTGAAAAGTCTCTGCTCTTTTTTCTCCTCATTTAAAGTCTGTTCCGAAGTCGTAATCCTCATCAGCTTCAGCTCCGAGTCCACTCATAGCGCCATCTAGTGCCCTGGAGAGCTCTCCCGCCAACGCATCTGAAAATGATGTCAAAGCATGGGTCAAGACTCACTCTAACAACAGAAAAAAAATTAGAGACAATTTGTTGCAAATTAGTTGCTTTGATAACTTTCTCTAAATGAAAATCAAGATGTGATTGACAACTAAGAAAATTGTAATTGATGATATCACTTCTTTATATTGTAACAAAATGAGGGATATTTTTTTCTAAATTAAAATTGTCCTGTATTTTGAATAAAAAAATTCAGTACTGTACCTGCTCTCTTTCTCTTTTTCTTCATCTTCTTAAAATCCTGTTTTCTTTCTCTGTTTACCTGCTGGTTAAGACTCGGGACATTCTCAGAGTTTTGTTTTTTCTTCTCTGTAACCTTGGACGAGCTCTTCTTGGTTGGTTTTCTTTCCATGGATACCGTGACATCCTTTAACTACAAGTCAAAATCAAAGATGAGACATGAATAGGTGCACTAAGATCAGACTCTGAAAGGAAAATCTAGGCAAATAAAACATTTTATTGTACTACTAAATGCATAGTTACTAAAACACCTATAAACTTGACTCTGTGCATAAGTTTTCTATTGTATGCTCAATTTTGCCAATTGAAAATGGTCATAAATATAATGAAAAAAGTAGATAAAAGTTTGGTTAAATGTGTTGTTGATAGTGCAACTAGTACACATCTAGTTGAATTGTCCACCTCAAACATGTTCCCTATTACTGAGCACATCCTAATCTTTAAAGTTTGAATAATTAAGTTAATCAGTTCTTTACATTGGAACTTATAGTGCCTAATTTACCATAGCACAGTCACTTAACACTGCAAATAAAATTACCTGTGTGAAAAGCAGGTAAACAACAGCTTAAAAAAGAGCATGACATCAATTTTGTCAACAAAGAGAGCACAGTGGATTCTAAGTGACAGATGTCAAAGATTAGGTCACAGGTCAAAGGTTAGGTCAGAGGTCAGATCAATAACTATCAATACACCCCCTTGCTTATTTAACCTTCACCAAGACAGTTCCTAATTAATAATTCTATAATCAAATCCTGCTGGTGAATAAACTGAATAGTCACGGAGGGTCATTAAATATTAAAGGGTTGATGTTTTTTTAATTGACTTCTATTATTTGTTTTCCCTTCTGTGGAGAAATCAGCATATCAAATTTATCACACCTTTTTTTAATGAAAAATTATTTGGTTGTACAATGAGGAGTTGTGGCCATTGAGGTTTAGACCTCCTCACTGACACTGAGGTCTCTGAAGAACAGAATTGAATGACATGGTGGTGGTTTAACCCATTAAGAGAGCTGGGGGTAGTAGAAGGAGCCCAAATACAAACAGGTACAATTAACTAATTCATAAGTTCAATTCGATAAATTATTTAGCTAAAAAAAACAAAAAATAAAAAAATATATTTGAAAAGTAAAACCTAGGATACACATTAGGCATAGCCTTCTATCAACCTCTTACCACAAGACAATTTAGAAGAATTTTATACAAGGTTATGACATCAGTGATCTTAGCAAAGTAACCTTTTACAACTGAAGTACAGAAATTACATAAGCTGAAAAGCAAATACATGCTACGACACACTCTCTACATTAAACATTTTAGAAAGATTAAGATAACAATTTAACAGTAGAGTTCACAAAATGTCACAGAAGAAAAATATTTTCCTGTGTTGTTCATTATAAAGCAAAAAATGTGACACCATTTAAAAACGGGTCAATTTATTGAAAGTGCCCAGTCAAAATAGTCAATTTACTATGCTAAGTAGCTACATAAACAATCTCCAAAGAGCCAATCCATTAGAATAGCCTCATCACACGCCATAAAGTACACA